TCGGATGTCTTGGATCGTCTAATCTGATATTGTTTTTTCTGGTTTCGTGGTTCTTGAACTCGTAATTGGTGTGATAATAGCTATCGAGGAAGAAAATTCTACCGTTTGGTTTTAAAGCATCTCTACATTTACCAAAGAATGATTCAAAGAGTGATGGTGGAACATGTGATACAAAGAAACCCATGAATACAATGTCATAACTATTTGGTGCTGGATTAAACTCCTCACTAAATAAATCGGTTTGGGAGATTGAAAAACTGTTCTTTTCAATTAAATCTGCAAACTTTTTCTTTAATACGTTAATCATTTCAATAGAACCTTCTTCGCAATGTAAATCAAACTTTTCATTTAAGAAAAATTTGGTAAAGTTACCTGTACCTGGGGCTAATTCTAAAACTTTGATCTTTTGGTTGTCTTCATAATACTTTGAATCTGTAATTTGAGTAAAGTAATTAAAGAAACCTTCTCTGTTTAATAAAGCTTCATTTCTAATTGAATCACCCTGATCGAATCTACCTGAAAAGTTCCACCATTCATCATATTCGCTGTATAAAAAATATATTAGAATAAAATTAAATAAAAAATTAGAGGTTTGTTAAATGTTAGTGGTAAATTTATTAATAAAATTTACTCTGCTCTTTCATTATAGTATTGTTGTTGCTCTTTGAGGCTATTTAAAAGTTCAGTATTTTGAGACATCATTATGGAGTTTTAATAGTAATTATGTGATGAACAAATAATTGTTATAAATTTATCAATTCAAATTTAAACAAGGATTTATTAATTAAAATGATGATGAGAAAAAAAAATACAAAAATATCAAAGGTTTTTATACTAAATTAAAAAATAAAATAAAAATAAAAATAAAAATAAAAGAAAAATATAACGATTGTGCTACATGGATTTACGTGTATTTTGATTTTTTGACTTTTGTCTTTTCGGTAATCAAAAAAAAAATATATTTTTTTTTTTTTTTTTTTTTTTTTTTTATTTTTTCCCCCATGTTTTTAATAATTTTTTATTTTTTTTGCCGTCAAATGGGTTTGACCCTTTTGAGTTGACCCATGAATAAATAAATGAGATAAAATAATGAGATAAATAATGAGTGAATTAATTGATTGTAAGTTTTATGAATTTTTATGAACGTGATGTGAGTTTCTGAATATGGATTATATAAGCGCGAGCAAAGTGATATGAATTATTGAGTGTTATTTATGAATATGAATTATAGGAACCGAGTAATGTGAATGTTTGAATGTAAATTATTGAATGTGAAATATACATATGGGTGATTATGCAAAATAAAAATAAAAAAAATAAAAAAATAAAATAATGTTTTAAAAAAAAATCTTTTTTTTTGATCTTGTCGTTTGAAAAAAAATATAAAAAAAATAAAATTAAAAATAAAAAATAAAAAAAAAAAAAAAAAAAAAAAGATTTTTATGATTTAAATGGTTTTTTTTAATTTGAAAATAAATATAAAAAAAAAAAAAATTAAAAAAAAAAAAAGTTAATTTTAAAAAAATGTGTAGTTTGGTTTCGAATTGTATATTTGTAATATGTTGTTTGATGAATGGTAGGGGGTTGGTTGAAAAGTTTATTTATATTATAATTTATTTTTTATTTTACCAAAAAATTCACCACCTTTTTTTTTTCAAAATTATAATTTTTATTTTAATTTTATTTTTTTATTTTAAAAAATATATTTCAATTATAAATTAAAATATTATACACAATAGTAATATGAATAATAAATAAATAAATAAATAAATAATAAAAGTAATATTTTCAAATATTATATTGTTTTAAAAATGAATAAAAGTAATAGTAAAATAAATAACATTAATAATAATATTAATAATAATAACAATTGTAATAATAATAATAATAAAGATAACCAAAATGAATTATTATTTTGGAAAATATTTAAAAATAAATTTTTATGGAATACAATTGTATTTATGAACAGACATCAAATAAATGAAAATATATATAATAATTTAGAATATATTTATAATAAAAATGATATCATTGAGATAATAGAGCAAGAAGAAGAAAATAACAGTGATAGTGAAAGCTATAGTGGGGATAGTGACAGTGATTATAGCGATAGTTTAGATGAAGAAAATAAAATTATTAAAAAAGAATTTTCCAAAATTGTTCCATCAATTAATATACCATTGATTAATTCAATACCATCATCATCATCACTTTCATCACCTACATCATCACCAACAAATAATAAACACTCACCAACTTCATTATTAAAAATGAAATTACAATTACCTTTAAATGGTTTAATATCAAATGGTTCCATATCACCCACTAAAAATTATCAACAACAACTCTCCAACCAAAAATTTTCAAATTCCTCATCATCAAACCAACCATTAATATCATCACCAACCTCTACTCCGAGAAGTGTTTTCGCTCTAACACCAAGATCTTCAAATGAAACATCAAATAATTCACCAAGAGGAACCAATCAAGTAAAATATATGAAGTTCCCAGATACATTTAATTCATCACCTTTAGGTCTCATTCCCTCAAGCGTAACATCATTGACTTTTGGAAATGATTACAACATTGATTTAGAGGAACATGTATTACCATCTCATTCAATTATTTGTTTAACCTTTGGAAATAGCTATAATAGACCCTTAGTTCGAGGATCGATACCGCCATCTATCCAGTATCTTACTTTTGGTAGTTCATTTAACCAGCGTATAGTACCAGGGACTTTACCAAATAACTTATTATATATCAATTTTGGGGATTCGTTTAACCAACGTTTAGAGGAGGGTATGATACCACCAAATACATCACATATAAAGTTTGGTGATTCATTTAATCAAAAACTAAATAATAGAGGTTCAATACCAAAGAGTGTAAAAAAGATTGTGTTTGGTAAACAATTTAATAGTAGCATATTTCCATCCGTTTTACCAGAGGGTTTACTTCACTTGGAATTTGGATTAAATTTTAACCAGCCATTATTACCATCAAGTATACCAAGTACAGTTAGACGACTCTTTTTTTCCCATCATTTTGATCAACACATTTCACGAGAAAATCTACCAGAGTCAGTTCAGGTCCTCACACTTGGGAAAATGTTTTCAATGAAGCTATCAACTGATACTCTACCACAAAATATTAAACATTTGGTATTTGGTACTTATTATAACCGTGATTTAGGTATAGGTGTTATTCCTGACTCTGTAACTAATCTCGAGCTTGGTGACGACTTTAATAAACAACTCAAACCAGGTGCAATATCAAGAAATATAACAAATTTAAAATTTGGTTTTTGTTTTAATAAACCAATAAGAGGTGTAATTCCAGATAGTGTTCGTAGTATATCGTTTGGTTATTCATTTAATCAAAATGTTGAAGGTTGTTTGCCACCCAATTTAGAGTATTTATCTTGTTCAAGTAATTTATATAAGAATTTAACAGCTCAAATGCTGCCCAAAACCCTAACACATATATCAGTAGATGACTTGTTTGATATACCTTTAAATGGCCCACATACAATTCCTGACACGGTCACTCATTTAACTTTAGGTCAAAGTTTCAATAAATCATTGTATTTATTTTCTCTACGAAATTTAGTTTATTTAAAACTTGGCAAATGTTATAATCAGCCTTTAACGCACGAATCATTACCGCAAAATCTACGCCACCTTGAGTTTGGGGATAATTTTAATCAGGTAATTAGCAAATCAATACTTAAAGAGGGTTTGGAATGGTTGGAGTTTGGAAATAATTTTAATTTACCTCTCGAAATAGGGTCAATTCCTTCATCAGTCAAACACCTTGGTTTCTCAAATTCATTTAATCAGGCAATATTCAAAGGTATTTTACCAATAAACTTAAATTCATTAATTTTTGGTAATTCATTTTCAGGTTATATATCAGACGATATTGTTCCACCTTCAGTAAATTTTATTTCATTACCATCTCATTTTCCAAGATATAAAATAGGTGATAGAGTTTATAAAACAGTTTTAATTAAATTTCAAGATAAAAATTTAAAAATATAAATAAAATTATGGGGTAATATAATAAGCAGCGTTTTTATTTTATTTTATTTTATATTGTTTTATATTATTTTATTTAATTTAATTTTTTTGTTTGTTTATTTTAATTATTGAAACAAAGGCTGGAACGTATGATTTTATCTTTTCATTTGTTAATGTTTTATCTTCTACACCAAAGGTTAGTCTGTTCACAGTTGGTGGGATATTTTTTAAAGAGATGAGATGCTCTTCAGTTAACTTTGAGCCTAATTTTAGTGTATGGGTATATTCTGGAATGGAACCTGGAATAATTTTTGCATTGAAGTTTTTTAAAGTTAAAACCAAGGCAGATGATGGGAGAAAATTGTTTATTGATAGATATTTGATTTCAGAGCCACATATAAAATATTTTATTTCTTTTGGAATACAATCGCCATTTTTAGCGATATCAAAGGTATCACCAAGTATCAATACTTCTAAATTTTTTGGGAATGAATCATCCAGTATTTCCTGATTGAATTTTGGCATTTCTAAATAAGTAATCCAAGGTGGAAAGAGATCTGGTATGATTTCATGATTGAAAAAAGGTAAAGAAAGTTTTTTTAGTCTTTCTGGAATGAAGTCAAAAATGTGTTTATATTCATCGATACTGAAATCGTGATTAATTGTTATATGTGTATGTTTTCTTGACATTTCTAAAAATTCTTTATAGGTTTTAATATGTTTATTTTTATATACATTTCTTGATTTCTATAAAATAAAGTTATATTAGTATTTTTTTTTTTTTTTTTTTTTTTTACTACTTACTATTAATTTATGATTTTTTAATTCATTTATACCAGCCCTGCATTCTGGGTTTTTTGTCAAACAACGTTGAATAAAGTTTTTGAAATCGTTTGGTAAGTCGCTTGGTATTTCTTCTTTTTTTGCATTACCTCCTGCCATTTCAATTAAAGTACACCCTAAACTATAAATTTCTGTTTTTATAGATAGTTGAGTAGCTGAGTTTATAATTGCTTCTGGAGCTATATAAGTACCGACATGTTGATTTCTAAATTTTAATTCATTTTTTCCAATGAGTCTTGATACACTAAAGTCGATAAGTTTTATTAAACAATTTTCGGGATTGTATAGAATATTTTCACTTTTGATATCTCTATGAATGATTCCTTTTTTATCTAAAAATTCTAATACCAAAATCAACTGTTTGGTAACTTTTATCATTTGCGAATAGTTAAGTTTATTTTTTGATAGGACGCTATAGTTTTCTAAATACTCCATATAAATATAAAGATTCTCCATCTGATTTTTTTCGAAAGCATAATCGTAGATTTTAATAATTCTTTTATTATTAATATTTTTTAATTCCTCTAATAATTTCCCAACTTCATGAGGACCCTATGATAAAATGGTTATGGAGTTAATAAATATAATAGGTTTAATCAGCGTCTAAGATTAAATACTTACAAAGTTATTATTTGTAATAACCTTTATTGCGCACATTGTCTTCTCTGCTATAGCGAAATTACCCAGATTTTTGATTTTCTCTCTTAAATATACAGCCTCACAATGATTTCCTTTTCCAATAGCTCTACTCTGACCCCATTCTTCTTCTATATGTTGTTTGGTTAATTTTTTATCACAAATAATAAAATTTCCCATGGTTAAATCTCCATGGATGATAGAGAATTTTTCAATAAAAATCTTTTTCAACATTTTTTTTTCTTTTTCTTCTAAATCAGGAATTTTTAGATAGGACGGGTCATTACATCTTAAAATTTTCTTTGACATATCATACTGCACTATTTTTGCAAGATCTGATAAAGTTCTTCCATTGTTTCTTTCATTTGAACCTGCATATACCAATTTAATTATAAGTATAAATAAATTATAAAAGTATTATCTATTTAATTTTTATACTAATTAGAATAAAAATATATTAATTATAACAAAATTACCTTCTGGGTTTTCAATATATTCAATATCACTATTTAATCTTTTAACAAGAGAGGAAGTTAAAAAAGACATTTTCAATCCCCCAGACCCTTTTTTTGGGCAAAAAGCTGGTTTGCCGTAAGGAGCACCATATAAGAAAGCTGTATCTGAATATTCTCTAATATAAGTAGGTTGATTGATTTCATTTGTTTTTCTGCAACAATCAAAGATAAATAGTTTCTTGAAATCTATATTAGCATGAATTTGAAGCTTTTCTAAAAGATTTTTGTGTTCAACCTTTAGGGTTTCATAGTCATTGTTTTTGTCATCTAACTCTTTTCTAATTTTTTTTAATTGTTCTTCTATTTTATCCAATTCCCCTTTTTCTATACCTGGGTTTCTCCTATATGAATGTTTTTTTTGATAAAGTTGTTCACAATATTTATTTAGATCATCATATTCTTTGTCAAGGTTGGCTGAGTTTTCTAAATAAATTGTAATTTTATTATGAATCTCCCCTTTAATAATTTCCTTCTCTCTTCTTTTAAATTCTTCTATGATATCAAATTGTGAAAAATTTTCTCCATTTTCTAACTGAATAAGTAAATCACCACCTATATTAAGATATTATTAGACTGTGTTTTTTTTTATAAACAAAAATATAATATTTACCTGACATTCCTCCATGACCTGAAAAATAAAAAATAACTTGATAGTTAGACGGTGGGAGTTTGTTTATATGTTTTCGAAGAATTGTTTCAAAACTTTCTTTACTTGCTACTGTTTCAGAAAAACAATTAAAACTACATTTTTTTAAAACCATCTCCAACTCTTTTGGGTTGTCATCATTGTTTAATTCTAAATTTCCTTTATATTTACAAGAAAAAAGAAATGCATGTCTTGATATGATACGATTTTTTTTAAACTCAAGTTTATCTAATGATTTGGTTACAGTGTCTTTTGTGTCTAAAAAAAAAAAAGTTAGAATTTGTGATTTATATAAATCAAATTAAAAATGATTATTACCATTATTAGTGAACCTTACTGGTTCATTAATTGATATCATTCTAATATACAAATTTGAAAAAAAAAAAAAAAATTGGATTTTGATGTTAAAAAAAATAAAATTAAAATCTGCAAAAAAAAAATTGAATTTGATGATAAAAAAAAAAAAAAAAAAAATAATTAAATTTTCTAAAAATAAAAAAAAATAGGCTTTATTAAAATCAGAAATTGAATATCGATTTGAAAAAAAAATCTTTGATTATACATATAGCAATATTTATAATATCTTCAGCTTTAAATTTCATTTTTCTAATTAATTTTTTTAATATATTTCACAAAAAAAAAAAAAATTAAAAAAAAAAAAAAACAATTTTTTAATCAAAATTTTTTTTATTATTTTTAATATTTTACTATTATATAACTTTTCTTTTTAATTTAATGTCCATTTTTTTGTGTTCATAGCAATAAATGTATAAATTAAGTAATACAACTGCCAAAGAGATAAAAGAAGATTTTATTACAGCTAGAGCTGGGGCAGAACAAGCATATAGATCAAGAGATTTTGTTTCAGTAATAACTAACCAAGGGACAAGTAAAATAACAAGTACAATCAAAAATAAAGAGGGATATAAACCTTTGAAGATATCTGATCTTCACACACCAAATATCAAACATCATGATAGGAAATTAGTTGGCTGGGTAATTGAAAGAGGGTTTCGATTATCCGCTACATATACACTTGTTCGTTTAGATAGAGAGGGTAATGAATGTATTGTTTTGGCACTCTATTGCGGAGTTTCACCAGAAGAATTACCAGTAAACACAAAAATAACTGTATATGCACCATATCTCAAGCGTAGCCAAGATGGAAGAGTGGTTATCAGAGTAGACGAGAAACATGAATTAGAGGTTGGTGGTATTGATAAATCTGAACAATTAAAAGGTGAAGGTAATAAATTTTTTTTAAAAAAAGAATATCCAAAAGCAATTGTAAGTATTATAATAAAAAAAAACCTCTTAATCATATACTAATATAAAATTCTTTATTTTAATAGGAATATTATACAATGTCATTAAAAGAAGATCCAAGTAACTATTTGGTTTATTGTAATAGATCTATATCATATTTCTTAATGGGTGAATACGATAATTCTTATTACGATGCTAAATCTACCGTTGAAATCAACTCACAATGGTGGAAAGGGTATTTCCGTGTTTCAAAGGCATTGTTTGCACTCAAAAGGTTTATGGAGTCCTATGATTTTATTTGCAAAGCATTGTTGTTGGATAAAGAGAATCTACCAGAACTTAAGGCCCACTTTGAAGAAATATTAAGAATAAGAAGATTAGAGTTGGTATCAGAAGATAACCCACACAAAGTAGTCCCACCACCATTTCCAAATTTATTATCGACCCCAATAAAAGTAAATGACCCACATCATAATACTGAGGAAAATAAGATACCATCCATTGATGAATTATTTGGCACAGACTCACAACAACAAAAAAAAAAAAATAAGAAAAAAAAAAAGAAAGCACAATCACAATCACAATCACAACAAACAACATCATCAACAAAGGCGACAACAACCACAACCACAACCACAACATCTTCCAAGGATAGAGCATTGGTTAGAGGTTTCAAAACTATTACAAATGCATATAAAATGGGACCTAGATATATGTCCACTGGTGTGGATATTGGTGATTCAATTATGATTTGGGGTGGAAGAACCGACTCAATTAACACATTTGATTATAATAGCGAAGGAAAAAATATTAACATGGCAATTACTTTTGACCCAAGAAAAAATATTTTTAACAAATCTAATGTCATAACCCCAAGTCGTATTCATCACTCAATGGTTAGAGCAGGCAATAGAGTATTCATTATTGGTGGTGTCGATCCAAATAATAAAAATAGCAGTGTTGTCTATAATACAATTTGTGCATCTTTAAATGAACAAATGGACATTTTATCAAAATTTGTAGAGCGAAATAAACCAAAGAACCTTAGAGAGTGCAATTCAGTGGTTATTAAAGATACTATTTGGGTATTTGATGATCAATGTAACATCCATTGCCTGGATTCATCCAGTGGTATTTGGAATACTATAAATTTGAACAAACCTACCAAGCCACAAAAAAGAACGATTACATGCCTTTGTACCGTTGGTATCAATGATCGTTATATTTTAATGTATGGTGGATCAAATGGCGTGGTCAAATATAAAGACCTCTGGTGTTTTGACACTAAAAGTTTAGAATGGTCGTCCATTCTAATGCCAGTAAAGAATCAAAAAGGACCAATTCCAACGACCAACCAAATAAATGGTTTCAATTGTTATACCAGTACCCGTGGTGTTAAGTATTGTGTATTCTTTGATCAAGATCATAAGTTATGGATACTAAATACTCAAACTTTAGTATGGAGAGAGTTACCCTACATTATTCCATCACCCATTCCAGTGTTAGATTTATTCCAAACAACTATTTTGGGTGACAATCTTTATATTATAGGCGGCATTGGTGGTAATACAGATGTTGGCCAATTAGTTAGTGACGATTTGTTTAGTTTTCCTATTGGTGAAGTTATCAATTCATTAGAAGAACCATCAATCCAAGATTTATCAGATTCATTTGAGCAATGGATTTGTTGGACTTGTGGCAATATAACATCAAATAAATGCTCAAATGACTGTAAATCTCCAGTTCTTTATTGTTCTTCAAGATGTAGACTTAAAGGGTTACAGGTACACGAATGTAATGACAGCAATAGTAAAGTTGAAGAAAATAGTTTAAATAATATAATAAAATCACTAGAAAAAGAAATTAATCTTTTGAATTTAGAAAAATCAGTAATTGAAGAAGATATTCAATCTATTCAAACTGTTTGTTCAGGAGACACCAAAGAACAATTATTGGAAGTAGAAAAAGAAAAAATTATGAAAATAGATAAGGAAATCAACTCAATTAAATTAAAAATTCAAAATCAAATCCAACTTAAAGAGTGTCCAATTTGTTTCGATGGTGATAGAGATCATGTTTTAAGTTGTGGTCATTCTTTCTGTGGGGCATGTTTAGAAGAATTAACCGTATGTCCTTTGTGTAAAGTTAAAATCACCACTGCACCAATTAGAATCTATATGTAAATGTAGTAATAAATGGCTTTATTATTTTCAATAAAGAATTGTTTTTATTAATTTTAGTTATAATAAATTAAATAAAAATATTTTTAAAAAAAAAAAAAGAAAAAAAGTTTTATAAAACTTTGTGTTTAGCAAAATAAAGAATAGTTTTTATTAATTATTATTTTTGTTGATTGTGGCATATATAAATTTTTATATTTTTGATTTTTAAATATTAATGAGGTGATTGATGTTGGTAATGTATTGGGTAGTATATCTTGATCGAAATTGAATCCAAATGAAAGAGTTTTAAGATTTGGTGGGAGTGAATTGGGTATAATCTTTTGATTAAAATTGTTACCAAATATTAGAGTGTCGATATTTGGTGGAAGAGAGTGAATGGGTTGATTAAAGACTAGTCCAAATTTTAAAATCTTTAAATTTGATGGTAAAACATTATCTATTGGATGGTTGAAATGTGTTCCAAAAGTAAGTGATGTAATTGATTGCGGTAGTACATTTGGTTCTATATAGCAGTTGAAGTTGCCAAGAAGAGTTAAGTTGGTGACACTATCAGGTATATCATTTGGTTTTATTTTTTCGTGGTAGTTCATTTCGAGTGTGAGTGTTTTAACACTTGGTGGTATTATTCCTTTATAAATATAGAGTTCATGAATTGTTAAATCGGTTACTGATGATGGAATATCCCCAGGTACTAGCGGTCTTTTAAATCTACCAATATATAGTGTATTTACTGATGATGGGATTATACTTTCGCCATTGCTTTGTAATAGTGGTTGGTCATATAGTGTAATCATTGTTAACTTTGTAACGCTATTTGGTATATCACCAATCTCTAGGAGTTGATTAAATTTAAATGAAAACGAAAGGGTTTCCACAGATGAGGGAATAGCCTTTTTGATTGGTTGGTTAAAGAAAAAAGAAAAGTCAAGCTCTTTAACAGATGAAGGTATAACAAATGGTTCTATTGGACTATTAAAGCCACCTAGTTTAAGTATTTCTACACCATTGGGTATCATACCACTTTTTAGCTCTTGTTTGAACCCCATTGGAAGGAAAATAGACTTTAATGATGGGGGTAGCGAGAAAGGTTTGATAGGTTGATTGAATTTGGATCCATTAAACTTTAAATGCTCGAGATTTGGTGGAAGAACACCTATTTCAATTGGTTTGTTATATTTATTTCCAAAATAAAGTGATTTGAGACTATTCGGTAGAACTCCTTGAGCAAACTCTTGATCAAAATCATCACCAAATTCGATAGTTTCTAGTGATTGTGGAAGTATATCTGGTTCAATTGGTTTATTAAAGTAGTTGCCAAAGGTTATGGTTTGTAGATTCGATGGAAGAGAGTTTTTTTTTAATGACTGATTAAAACATACTCCAAAGGTAATTGCTTGAACATTATCTGGTATATCACCTGGGTACAAGTTTTCATTAAAGAAATAGTCAAAGTATAAATCTGCTACATAGCTTCTATATTTATATTCTAACAATAATCTCCTACTATATGTATAAAGGAATCTTTTTTTTTTATATAATCTACAATAAAATAAAATTTCGTTTCTAATTACTATATTTTTCCAAATTCGTGTGAACAATTCTGTATTATTGTTGGTGTCACTATTGTTATTATTATTATTATTATTATTATTATTTACAATGCTATTGTTATTTTTTATCATTATTCCTTTAAATCATTTTTTTTTAATTTTCAAAAAATTTAAATAAATTTAATATAAAAAAAATATAATTTGAATTTTCAAAATATTTAAAAAAATAATTTTAATTTTATTTATTTATTTTTTTTCTTTTGTTTTTTTTTTTTTTAAATAAATTACTGTGAATAACATTTCTTGTAATTTTTTTTAGAATCATTTATGCTTTTGGGGTATATTGATATCCTTTCTTTGTAAGGGTAGAGTAATAGTAGATATGATTAAAAGCATATCTATAATAGGAACAGCTGGTAGAGATAAAGAAAAACCACTTTCAAGTCTTCATTTTAACTTTATGTGCGAAACTTTATTTTCTTTTCTTAAAGAAAAACAGTTAGATATAAAAGATATTATGTTAGTTAGTGGAGGTGCTGCTTGGGCTGGTATATATCAAAATTAATTAACAAATCATAAAAATAGTAATATTAATATCAACAATAATAATTTAGATCATGTAGCTGTAGATACTTTTTTAAAATATCCTGAAGGTAAATTAACATTGTACCTTCCTTGTGATATTGTCAAATCTTCAAACCAAATTAATTACCAATATATTGATACTGGTGGTTTTGATTGGAAGAATAACCCTGGAAGAACTTCAAATATATACCACAGAGCATTTCAAAAAGAAATGGGTAGAAATTCAATTGACGAAATAATGAAGGCAAAAGAAATTGGTGCTATCATCGACACTTCATCAAAGGGTTTTCATGATAGAAATACAAAAGTATCAAAATCAGATTGCATCATCGCTTTTACTTTTGGTGATGGAAATGAACCAGAAAAAGGGGGTACATTAGACACTTGGAAAAAATCAAAATCAAAAAATAAATTTCATTTTACAATCCCATCAAATTTTTCTCAAATCACCCATAACCCAGTTTTATCAAAACGAAATTTTTTTCAATTAATAAAAGATGAGAATAATAATAACAATAATGAAATAGATAATAATAATAATAATAATAATAATAATAATAATAATAATAATCAATTAGATATAAAAAATCAAAGTGAAGTTAAAGATCACCAAGAATCACACACTCCTAAAAAAATAAAAAGAGAAATTAAAATTTATGATTTTTTTGTAAAAAAAAATTAATTTTAAAAAAATAATCAATTGATTAATTGTGGACCACAAATTGTGTTTAAACTTAATTTTTTTTAAGTATTAAATATTCCCATTTTTTTATTTTTTTTTTCAAAGATTTGAAATGATCAAAGTTACTTTTTTTCAAATAAAACAATCAAAAAGGAATTGTTTAATTTTCGAAAAAAAAAAATTTTTAAAAAATAAAAATAATTTTTTTTTTTTATTTTTAATTAATTAATGTTTTTTTTTTTAAATTTATATTTATATTTCTTAAAAATCCCTTTGCAAAACAATAATATTCAATAACAAATAAAAATGGAGAGTAGTGTATCGAAAATAATAAAGAAATATAATTCTTTATCTAATACACCCAATCCCACCAAAAAACCTTTTAGTATCTCCACACACAAAAATATAAATAACTCTGTAAATAATAATTCTGTAAATAATAAAACTTGTAATAATAGTAATACTAATAGTAATACTAATAGTATCAATTGTAATAATATTAATAATAATAATAATAATAATAATAATAATAATAATAATAAAGTAGATAATAATGAAAAAGATAATGGCTCAATAGATAATAATATAATAAAAAAAAATTCAAATGACATAAGAAATGAAATAGATGAAATGGCAAAAAGAATAAATTCATTATCAATATCTTCAAAAGAAATTAAAAACAATACAAACGAAATTAAAAATAGATTTGAGGAGAAAAGTGATAATAACAATATCAGTAATAGCAATGGTAATAATAATAATAGCGAACAAAAAACACCTGATGAGGATGAAAATGAATTAAAAGAGAGTGGCGAATTTAGAATTCCAACAGCAACTCCTGGTGGTTATGGTTATAGATTATCAATTGAACCAGAATCAATAAATTCAACATCTTCTTATTCTTATTCAATATCACCTTCAATCATACCAGAAACATCACTTAGTGTGGCACCACCAATTGAAATAAACAATAATAGTGATAATATCAGTAATAATAGTGATAATGAAAATGATTGTAATAATAGTAATAATGATAATGATTGTAATAATAGTAATTTTGTAAATAACAATAATGATATTGATTGTAAAAATTATACCAATGATGATAATAATACCATTGATAATAATAATACTAGTAACAATAATAATATTCAACCAATAAAATCCTATCCTTTTCTTAATAAAAAGGATGAGGTTAAATCATTGCAGGATCTTTTATCAAAAAATTTAATTAGAGAAAGCTACGAACCTGTAATAAAGAGTGAAGAAGATGTTGGCGATGAGGATGAAGAAAATGAACCAACAAGTATAAATCAAGATGAAGCAACAGATGAAGAAGAACACCAAATCAATGAAAATAAACAATATTTAAATAAAAGTTTAGGACAAATTTTCAATGAAGATGATGAAGAAACAGAAATGTGTGAATTTGAAGAAGATAATAATAATAATGATAATAATACAATAGTAATACGTAAAGAAGATCTCTTTGATGATGATGAAGAGGATGAAGAGGATGAAGAAGATGAAGAAAATAGTTATAATTTAAACAACAATATAAATAATATTAATACTATAAATAATAATAATAATAACAAAAACAATAATAGTACAAATAATAGTGCAAATAGTAGTAAAAACAATAGTATTAATAGAAAGCCAAAACAATCATTACCTGAAGGATACTCATATTTTCATGAAAGAAGATCAACAATTTTACAAACTAATTTTACAAGTGGTGCAACTAGTACAAGCTTTAATGGTGAAACAAGTGGTAGTAGTACAAGTAATATTTTAACCAGTTTTTCTATGGATACAAGTTCAAACAGCGATTTCTTTTTAGATCAAGATGAAGAAGAAAGTAAATACAATATATCATTTTTAAATGATAAATTTAAATTTCCAAACCACAAAGATGAAGAGTATCATTGGAACTCAAGCTTTCAAGAAATTCTATCATTATCAGATGATGATCCTAACAAATCTAAAAGACTTTTCACTTTAGCACAAGAATTTGTGACGCTTGCAAATGAAATTGGCAAAGTATTAATCTCGGAAGTTAAATCGAAAAAAAAAGAAATTAAACCATGGGTAATTGGGGGTCAAGCTGGTGGTATTAAATACAAATGTCACGATATTATTTTTAAATTTGTTACAGATTTAAAAAGTAATGACAACACAACTTGGATCTATGGAGGTACTTATAAATGCGATGAAAAGGCTCAAAAGAGTGCAGGACATGAACTAAAAAGCTTAAATCATTTTAGAATGGCATCTTCAAATTCAATTCGTACACCATTAATGGCAATTATCTCATATTTGGGTTATAAAGTTACAGCAATTTCAAATTTACCAATTACAAAGGATGAAACAATCGTTTATGGTTCAAACAATAGTGGTATTGTAAGTATTCATTTTTAACTACTATTCATTTTTAAAACTAAAAGATCATTTTACTAAAACTTTTTTTATTAATTAATATAGAATGTGCATACATCAAAAGTAATCCATGATGAAATGAAATCAATATGTGAACAATTAAATTTATCAGAGCATTGCGTTAATGATTTGGGTAGTGGCGGAACAAAGGATATATTTGGTCCAGTTGATATTGAAATCCACGAGATTAATAAAAACCAATATTATGGGATTGACTTTTCGAGACTATTTCCACCAGAAGACCCAGAATACTCAACACCTAGAAAAGGCTTTAGGGGTGGTAATTTATTATGTAAATTATTAAGACCAGAACTGGTAAAAAAATCAAGTAAACCTTTAAGTAGCGATGCTTTTTTTACATTTCAAAACGCAGAAAAACAAGATGAACATAATGAAAATGTATCAATAATTACCAAAAAACTTCACAATACCGTTATACCAGAATTTGCAAAACATATCGATAACAATAGTGTTGGCACCATCAAGAGTTTAAAACCATCAAAATCAATTTACGACTCTATATTTTCAGCTGATCAAACCCAAAAAACTACTGAAAACTTCCCAGAATGGATTTTCAAATTGGATACAGATAGAAGAACTCATGATAACGATTTTAATTTTTCATCAAAAAGTCTATCTCAAAAAGCAAGTTATATCAAAACATATATTGACGAATTGCACAGTTCAGGGATCAACATTAGATATCTAGGTTTAGTGTCCAAAAATCTAAAAACAAAATCTTTAAAGAATCTACTTCAAAGCGAGGTATCTGCAAGAGTTTGGAAGAAATATATTGGTTCAACTATCAGATCTTGTGATAATCCAACTGAATACAACTACAAGAAAATTCTATCAACCATCTTTGAAATGATATTGTATCCATACGACTCTTTAGAAAACAAAGATTTTTGGTGCTTAAAAAGCAAGGACACTTTCAAGTATTTGGCACTGCAGTGCTTCGATAAATGTATATCTGATGAAGACTTGGTTGAAACTGTAGATTTCAGAAATAAAATAGATAATCGTTTAGTAGCCTACAGATTAATTCAAATGCTTAATGTTAAAATCAATAGTGAAGCTATGAACCAATTTTTATCAAATAGTAACTATGTTATCACCCTTCACGACATTGAAGAGATAGGTTCAAAGATTCAATACCTCAGTATTGTCGATGTTGCTGCCGGTTCATTTTTATTGGACGAGGCGATTCAAAGTATATCAAGTGGTAATAGTAATCCATTAGCAACTCAGAGATTAATTGAAAATGCCAAAAATAAATTCCTCTCGGCTTTATGTTCAATGCCATTATCAACTTCAGTAATGCTTAATTTAGGTCGTTGTTATTTACTCCAAGACATTACACTCAGTATCAATAACAAACAATCAATCGACAATATAAAGTCAGCATTGGCCCACATTAACTCAAATGATCCTCAAGTTAAAGCGTTACTAGGTATCTTTTATTTAAAATTAGCAACCTATCATATTTTTAACAACTTGCCAATATTAGATTTTGAAAAAATTATATTAAAACTAAAAGAAAGTTGGAACAATGTACCAGATAGTTTAATTATGGATAAGTTATTTTTAAATTTTAACCAATTTAAGATCACCAATAATAGTAACCAGCAGTATAATAATTCAAATAATAACGAAATATTACTATTCGAAAAAAAGAGTATTAATGAACTCATGGTATTGTGTGTGGCCTTGGATGAGCTCAAAAAGAAGTTTAAATTTGATTTAAACCTTGGTTATTTCTTTATAAATATTAAATTGGTTAAAGAATTTTCAATTCCACAATGTCTTTTACACTATTTCTATGAAAAGAGAATTAGTGTCAATCCAATTACCCACCATCAACTAATAATCGATATCAGCTCAATAGTATTTTCAAAAGCCAATAATATATCAACTATCGAATTAAATAATATAATAATTAATGAATCCCTATTACTTCAATTTAATCTTATTAATAATTTAAAGATAAGCAATTGTATCTTTTCATTCACCAATAGTAACAAAAATAACAATAATATTGGCAGCAACTTAAACGATCCAGTAAATGAAATATTATCAAAGTGCAAACTTTTAAAAACATTATATATTGATTTTAAAATATATACTCCTCAACTACAAACCCATTCACAGTCCCAATCAACTTTAACAACTGCTTTAATGCAACAGCAAGCACCTTCGGACTACCATTCAATTGATAAGCAACTAAATATAACATCAGACTATTTAAGATTAAAATCATTATCATTAGTAAATTTTAAAGGTTTATTTAGACCACCAAAAGACGAAATCATATTAAATCAATTAGAAGAATTGAATATAAACTATTCATTAGATTTAATCGACCTCATTTCAGTATGTTCAAAAATTAAAAAACCATCATTAAAATCGATTTCCATTGCTGGCTTTTCAAATCCCCACAATGCAGATCATATAAATGGTGTTGATAAAAAAATATTTAATGAAAATTTAACAGAACTAGATATATCCTCATGTAAACTCCCCTTATCAGTTGTTAATGATATTGTAAAAAACTCTTCCGGTCTAAAGGTACTTAAAGCTTCAAATAACAACTACTTTTCAAATTTTGCACTAGGAGTTTTGAACGATCGTCAATTAGAAAAGCTTTATTTGGACGGTATTTCCTTTGTAGGCTCTGAAAAGTTCTATCTTACAAATTTATTAAAACTAAAGAGTTTAAAAGTTCTTTATTTACCAAATTTTCAAAGAGTAAACAATAATAGCATAATAACACAAGATATATCAAATATACTTTGCGATTTTAAAAACCTTGAAGATTTAAAGATCCCATGTTACTTTCCTTTATCATCACTTGTTCAAACACTAAACAACTCTTCAACCCCAATTTATCTTAGAAAAATTAAAAGATTAAATTTAGAAAAAAGCACTGTATCAGTAAAATCACTTCAAACTATAATTAAAATCTCCCCACTTCTTGAAAATATATCATTATTTGGTAGTGTTTGGGAAATCGAAGCCAATCATAAAGACTTACTTTCAAACCTCATCGAATCAAGTACAATCATTTTTAATAATAATATTAAAGAATTAAATATAGCAGAATGTGACTTAAAAAAACCAGAAATTAGAGAAATAATTAAATTTTTCCCATCACTTCGTTTAATTATAACAAATTTTAATAGACTAGGTAAAACATTTAATATGAATAAAACTCATTTCCAAGTTATAAAATATATAAAAGAAAATAATAACACCATTAATAACAATAATAATAACATTAATAATAACAATGGTAACAATAATAATAATAATGGAATCAATAACAATAATGTCAATAATTATAATACTATTAAAAACAATTTCAATACGATTACCAGTAATAATAGTTATAATAGTATAGTTAATGGTGCCACGGTTGATAATCTCAATAGTGAAAATACAATTAAGGGTGAAAAGAAAAAGAAGAACGGTAAACCACCACTTTTGGTTCAATTAAAAGAAAAGTCATCATCAACATCATCATCATCAAACCCCAGCAACTCTGGTTTCTTTAGAAAAAAAATAAATAATTAAAAAGACTATTTTAAAAATTTTAAAATAATATTTTTAAATATATTTAAAGTGTATTCATCAATACTTTTATCCCAATTATCTCGATTATTTTTTTTTTTTTTTTTAATTTTTTTTTTTTTTTTTAAATTTCATTTTTTTATTTTTTAGTTTTTATAATTTGGATGATAATTTATGTAAAATAATAATAATAATAATAACAAAGTATATAGATAATGATACCAAGTTCAATTTTAAATCAAAACAATAGAACTAATGAATTAATTAAACTTTATAAAGAAAATTATTATAATTCAAAAGGTATCGAATTAAGAACAAGCAACAATAGCGATAAAGATCTAGGGGTATTTTCAACAAGAAAATTTAAAAAAGGTGAAGAAATATTATCAAATATCGAACCATATGTCCACTCTGTTCCACAACATAATATTGTGTGCGACTATTGTTTAAAGAATAAAAATAATGAAAATTTAAATACAACAATTTCATTAAAGAGATGCACAGGTTGCAAGTTAATCTACTATTGTTCAATTGACTGTCAGAAGAAAGCATGGCCTATTCACAAGCACGAATGTAAAATACTTTTAGCTGCTGCACAAGAATCTTTACAAATAAACAAACCAATTAACACAAAATCAACAGTTATGCTTTTAAGAATTTTTATCAAAAGAATGTTAGAAATCCAAAATAGCAACCATATAGATAAAACTGGGCAATTTGAAATTATTGATTATTTATTAAACCGTAAATATTACCTTTTTAAAAAAAAAACTATAATAGTTATTAACAATATAACTTATTTCAATAGATAAAGAGGAAAGAGTCAATGACAATTATAAATCATTTTCAATGGGTATTTGCCAACAATTAAATGAAGATCCATCAAAAGCACCAATAGTTTTAGAATATTTATTAAAATTAGAACCAAACTGTATAACCATACCAAAATGTGAAGCTTCAACCATTGGTTTATATCCATTAATGGTCTTTTTTAATCACTCGTGAGTAATTTATTACCTATTGCTCCTTTTTTTTTTAAAAAATATTAATTTTATTATTTTTATTTTTTAGTTGTAAACCAAATTTATCTATTTTAAATAACAAAAAAGAATTAAAAATCATATGCAATAGAGATATAAACGAAAATGAAGAATTATTTATAAATTATAGTCCATCGATATGCTACAGCAACGAAAGAAGAGAAATGTTAAAACAATGTTTTTTTTTCGACTGCAAATGTGAATTGTGTTTGAAAGATGAATTAGAAAAATCAATGGACTTATATATTCTATGCAATAAGTGTAATAAAGGAAGAGTTAATATTTGGTATGATGAAAATAAAAATAGAATTGTAAAATGTTTAAATTGTTCAAGTGATCACAACGCTGATGAAATATTAAAAAAGAATTTAATTACAACAAAATTACAAAAATGCTTAGATCAATTTATAAATCAAAACTCTGAATTAAATATAGACGAATTCAAGTTATTACTAAATCAATATTGCAAACAATTCTACTATACAGATCCATTATTTTATGAAATTGTGAACAAAACCGATTTATTTTTCCAAGATTTTAATAAAGAAATAGAAACAAATCAAATGAAACATTACCATCAAAGATACCAGGCACTATTAAAACACCACTTTTTGGATACTCAAAATTTACAATACGAATACTGCCGTCAGTTAGTGGACTATTCAAATATATTAATTCAAATTGGTTATTTCAAAGAAGCTTTAGGAATTTTAAAATTATTAAATAAAACACTCAGTAAAATAAATTACTATGGTTTTAATCAAGAATATTTAATTTCAATGGAAAATGAACTCAGCTTTAATATTGATGCAAATTATTATCAACATCAATAAAAAAATATAAATAAATAAATTAATAAATAAATACCGCTAAAAAAAAAAATTAATTTAAAAAAAATTTTATTTCAAAAAAAAAAAATTTCATTTGTTTCATTTATTTTTATATTTATGTATATATAACCATAAATAATGTTTTTTATACCATTAATAATATCTAGTATTAAAATTTTCTTTTTTATAACACCATTGTTTTGTTTAATAGCATCTTCTTTTTTTCTTAATGTCGAATCAACTTTAAGTTTTTCTTTAGTTTTATTAATATGTCAATTAATATCGTTAATAATCCAATCATTTTTTATAAAGAGTGGTCTTGAAAATTGGAATTTATTAAAGTTTTTACTTGATATTCCAATTTTAGGATTATCTTTTTTTATATACCCCTATATACCAACCACAGCTATAGATATCTATTATTTTTGTTTTAAATATATATTCCCATTATTAGTTTTCTCTACCGAGGCATATCAAGGAGTATTATTAGTTGTCTTTAAAACTAGATCCATTAAAAACAATATCGCTTATGGATCATCAACAGACTACATATTTAAGTCATCACTATTAATAATATCATTCATATCATATATCACCTCAATTTATTTAATATATGAAATATTTTCATATAACGAAATTTCAACTTTAAATGCATGGTAAATATTAATTCTATAACAACAAAAAAAAAAAAACACCAAAGTTATTAATTATTTATTTTATAATATTTTAGTTTATTATCAAGTTTAGGTACTTTGATGATTTTATTAATACCATATATGACAGTAGTTGAAGAATCAATAATATCAGATATTTCATTAATCACTTTAATAATTTGTTTAAATTTATATTCATACTTTTTCCAATTCAACACACAAACATTAATTTGTTCAGTTAATATTTTTAAATCATTATCATATTTAATCACATTATTTTTAATATCATATCCATTAATAAATAGAGACAGCGATGATAATGTTGATGAAGATTCAGACTCTGTAAGATTCTTATATAAAAAAAAAACTGTTATATATTATTATATTTTAAATAACTAACTTTATTTCTTATTTAGATAATTTATAAATTAAAAAACAAATTTATTTCTATTGGTTTAGTAATTGGGTTAACCTATTTGCCATTGTCCATGGTTGGTGTTATTTCAAATAGTAATTTATTATTTAGGTATATTCAAGGTGTTGTTACAGTATTATTATATTTTGGTTTATTATCAAACAAGTCATTAGATGATTATGATGGATCCTTTAAATTTAAATATGATTAAAATAAAATAAAAATATAACAAAGAAAGTTATTTATTTTATATTTTTAAATTATTAAAATAAGTTTATAATCTTTTTTGGTGTAACTGTTATTTTTTAAAAAATGATTTTCTTTTTTTCTTTTTTTTTTTTCTTTTATTATTATTATCTTTCTTAAAAATATTTTTTTAAAAAATTTCCTATATTACACTTTGTTATTTATATTTTTTGATTATACTGTATTAGTTATTTAATAAAAAAAACTACTTGAGCTTGAGAAATTTTGATATGGTTGTGATGAAGCTAATGCTACTGAAAGTACAATAATGGCGACAATAACACCGACACAGAAGAAAACGACTGATAAAATACCTAAACCTCTAGCGAGTTTATTTGGTGATCTAAAGTACATACAACCAGCTAACCAGATGCATGAAATAAAGAACTAAAAATATTAAAAAAAAAAAGAGTGATGGTTAGAATTAAATTTCCTTTTAAATATTTTATAATCTTCTGGGATATCGGAGTTGCTGCTAAATATTTTTCCCTGTGAATGTGATTTTATTATGATTATGTAAAATACATACACCTAAAATAAAAATAATAACGGCACCAGTAGTATCTTTATTAGTTTGGTTGTGTGATTCACAACGTTTCTTTTCTACAACGATTGGTGGTGGTTGGTAAGCTGGTACTGTTTGGTAAACATAACCTGGTGGTGGAGCTTGAGCTACATATTGTTCACCATTTTGATAGATAATAGTTGGTTGTACATATTGTGGGTAATAAAATTGTTGTTGTTGGTATGGTTGTTGAATAGCTTGTGGAATAACAAGTTGTGGGTGTTGTAATGATTGTGGTTGTTGTACTTGTTGTTGTTGAACTTGTGGTTGTTGTTGTTCTGGTTGTTGTTGTTGTTGTTGTGAGATTAATGGGGTTTTTTCTTCAAAGGCCATTTTTTTATATAAAACAAAAAATATATTTAATGTGGGTGTTATAAAAAAAAATTAATATATGGAATAATAAAAAAAAAAAATTTTAAAAAAATAAAAAAAAATAAAAAAAAACAATTTAATAAAAAAAATTAAAAATTAAATAAAAAAAATTAAAAAAAAACAATTTTCAAAAAAATGAGTTAGGTTAAAAAATTACGAATTTTCCGTTTTTATAGGAAAATAATATTTTAATTAAATATGGACATGTGCTTGTGGTAAATGATTTTCTTCCTCTAAAAAGTTAACTTTTTCTGCACATTGACTCAGTTCTTCAAATGTTTAAATATTTTATTTTTTTTTAGATCTTTATGATGCAAAGAATTTACTTGATTGAGCTTCACAAAATATTTAAAGAGAGAATATATTATTGTCTTCATCAGCCATATTTATTAGTTAATTTATATTATTTAAAAAAAAATTTTAAAAAAAATTTGTTTAATCTTTTTGAATTAGTCTTTCATTTATTTTCCCTAACTTTTTATTTTTAATTAATTTAATAATAAAAATAATAATAATAAAATTAAATATGGTCGTGAATTATATCAAAAAGTAATAAAATAAGGGCACCTGTTGGAATTCTAATTAAAGAGGGTCGGATATTTGTGAATGAAAAATGGAAAATGGGAGATTTGATAGCACCGTCGAACAATGATTTAAAGCCTTCGTATCTTATAATTTTTTTAAAGCAATCCAGGGAAGACGAAAAAAATTCTTTTTTATCTTTGGTTGAAACACTATCCAGTTTACAAACTACCGATTGAATAAGCATTGTGTTACAAACTGTTTCAAATGGATATGAAACAATATGTGAAATAATGTTAACTATAAATGCAATGCTGAACCTTTTAATATTTTTATTATTATCTTTTTTTTCATTTTCTTTATTTTCAAAAACAAGAGATTTACCAATATCATAACCCCCAAAAAAAATTGAATTATATAAAAAATTGGGAATTATTGAATAACTGAATGCAGAGTAAAATGAGGTATTTTGATAAAATTTGAAAAAATCATTTATTTGGTTTCTATAAAATTTAAAATTACTTTTATAAAAAACTTTTTTTTGATCTTTAAACTCTTGTAAAATAAAAAATTTATGATAGGTGTAGCAACTATAGTAATGGATAGGGTGAACCAATAATGATGTAGTTATACCTGCCTCCCCACCAGATAGTATAAAAAAACCAAACTTATTTAAACCATTTTCAACCACATTGACCTTTGTGTGTTCTTTAAATACTTCATAAAAACCAAATTTTAAACCATAGACTGGTGAATATCTGGCAATATCCATTAAATTTTCACTCCATAGAACTTTAGCCGAAAAATTTTGAACAAGTGGTGATATGCCAGTAACAATTAATACAATATAACTTAAAAATGGTACATGATTTAATGTATTTGGTATCCAACATTGTGATGTTTCTAATGGACAAATCAATGTTTTAGATATGGTATAGGTAATACCGCCTTTAAAAAATACATTAAAAAATAATTTTGTATTAGAAATACCATCTTTATTATTATTATTATTATTATTGTTATTGTTATTATTATTATTATTATTGTTATTATTATTATTATTATTATTATTATTATTATTATTATTATTTTTATTTTTTTGATTTTTATAAATATTTATATTTTCATTTTTATTATTTATTATAAAATTATTATTCATAATTTTTTTTAATTACCAATTTTTTTTTAAAATAAAATGAAACAAAAAAAAAAACTTTTATTAAAAAAAAATAATACAAAACTTTTAATTTCAAAAAATGCATCATCACAAATCATAATACATAAACCTTTAATTTACAAAACCACTTCTTACACATAAAGGTTGCGTGTTTCGTCAGGTAAAAAAAAAAATTTAAAAATTAAAAATTTAAAAAAAAAAAGATATTTATATTTAGTTTTTTTTTTATTTTATTTATAATTAATAAGTTTATCATAAAAAAAAAATATATTAATTTTGATTATTTTCGTCTTGATGAATATTTGGTCTTTGTTCTCCATCTGTGCTAGTTTCTCTTTTTTCGATATTATTTGTATTATTTGTATTATTTGTATTGTTTTCGATGGTTGTATTATTATGATCATTATTTCTATTATTATCGTGATGTGGTAAAGAAATTGTAAAAGGTGTATTAATGTTATCTATATTTTCATTTTCATTAATTTGTTGAGGTGAAAGTAATATTTTTTGATTTGGTCGTTTATCTGGTGTTGCAGCTAATGGTGAGGTAACACTTGGAGATAAATATGAAATTTGAATGGTTTTTGAAAAATCTAAATTTATATTTGAAACTCTAGGTTTAAATTCTTGATTCGAAAGCATATTTACTTTTTTAAAGAATTTTATTGTAAAAGTACAATTTTTTGATTCTATTGGTTCGGGTTCACCATCGATTTGAAAAGCAGTTTCGATTTGATTCTTTGTATTTTCAGCTTGTGGAATATTTACTGTAATGGTAATTTCATCACCTTGGGACATTCTAATTGGTGATGAAATTGAACTTAAACATGAGCCTAAGTGAGGTAAACTTGTAACACCAATAATCTCCAATATTTGATCATCTATATATTGATTTTTAAATTTAATGTTCTTTTCTTCATTTTCACTATTATTATTATTATTTACATTGCCATCTATATTTTCATTTAAATCTTGAATTTCTTTATTACTATTATTTTGTTGTGTGGATCTTGGTGATATTGGAGATCTTGGTGATATTGGTTCATTATTATCTTTTAATTTTTTATTTGGACCCCATAAATCAACTCCACCAGCATAACTACCTAAATTTAAAATTATAATTCCTTCTATTGATTTATCGATTTTAATTTCTTTTTGACCAACTTTAATAGAAAGTACCTTTGAAAGTTTTACAAATGATTTTGTTACAAATTCTTCAAGACCAATCTTTGTATACCAAAGCTTATTAACGGTACGACCTGTAAATAATTGAGGATTAGCGTTTCTGGCCAAGTGAAAACCCAATGCAACTGTGGCATCTAAACCAATACTAAAATAGTTGTTCATTTCCAGAGACTTTATAATTGGTGGATCGACAGTATTATCTTGATAATCTACGCTCCAGGTATCCATTTGAATAATTCTGGCATTATTAATATTCTTTAAAATAGAATCGAGCTTTTCACCATCGTATCCTATTCCCCACCCTAAAGATCTTGCTAAATCATTGCCTGTGCCCAATGGGATAATTCCAATAGGTATCATTGGTAAATCATATTTTGTCATAACCTTAAATATCCAACCTACAGTACCATCTCCACCGCATACTAAAATTCTAAATCTGTTAATTTGCTCTGGATATCTTTCTATGTGCTCTCTTAACATTTGAAAAGTTGTTTCGGGGCCTTCCTTTATCAAATCTATTATTTGGAGTGGGTTTAAAAGGGAGGAGAGTTTTCTTATTAATACAGATCCAAATTGACCACCACTTTTTGAGTTTACAAATACAAATAATGCTTTTTCTGGTATATACTCTGGGTTTAATCTCCATTTTGCTATTGGTCTATTACCATAAGGTTTTGGTGATTCTGAAGAGGGCACTATTATAGTTGTTGTACTGTTATCTGTTGTAGTGCCACCTAAAGATGAGGTTGAAGAGGAGGCTGAAGCTGCATTATCTGGTAATTCACCATTATGAACAATTGCTTTATCACCAATATTCTCGTTTACTTCATATAATTCTATTGAGCCAGGAGGTAATATTATTTGTGAGTGTTTACCTAAATTACAAATTGGATTGTGCTTATCGAAACAAGAGCTATGAATATAATTATTACACCATAAACATTTATAATGGGCCAAAGAGAAAGTTTTTTCACAAACTAAATTACAAACTATACACCTCTTTTTATCATCCTTTAAATTTCCTTCTACCCAATGGTGGCTTGTAGATATATTATTATTATTACTACTACTATCTAATATTTGGTTTTTGCTGGTGCTATTATTATTTATTTTAAAAATTGGTGAATCTAAAGAATATGGTATTCTACAATTTTTATGAACTTTTTCTTGACAATGACTATGTGCAATATATCTACAATCTGAACATTGAACTGGCTCACCTGAAATTGTGAATGTACTTTCTTTACAATAGTTGCAAAACTTTAATATTGATTTTGATGTCTTGTGAAAATTATGTGGTCTATTGAAATATTTTAATTTTAATGATTTTATTTCGGCCTTATTTTTAATTTTTGATGGATTTGTTAATTCGTTCGTACTATTTTTAAGACTACCACCATTACTACTATCGTTGTCATTTAAATCCTCGTTTGTTCTATTACAATGGACCGTAACAAATGCTGTACAATGTGAATGAGAACTAAAATTACAATCTAAACATTGAAACCCTTGCGCGCAAATACCCCATAATAATGATCCACAATGATCACAAAATGTCTAAAAAATGAAAAAAAAAATGAAAAAAAATAAAATATAAATATTTCATTTTATTTGAATATTATTTTTATTATTGTTATTATTAAATATGATTATACATACTAATGACGTAAATGATTTAACTTTCCAATTGTGTGAAATATTTAAAGTATTCATTTCATTTACACAAATACTTTTATATGGTAAAGTATTATTATAATGATTTGCAGCTATTGTTTTTAATTTTGATTATTAATTATTTGATTATTTATGAAAAATGAATAAAATATCTTTTTTTTTTTAATGCTTGAATGATAACGGTTTGTTTAAAAAAAAAAAAAAAAAAAAAAATTTTAAAATTATTTTTTATTTTCAAAAAAACTTATCTTTTTTTTTTTTTTTTTTTTTTTACACATAGAAAAAAACAAACAAAATAAAACTACAGATTATAATAAATAATATATAATTAAAAAAACAATAGCAAATGTTATATTATTTAACACTTTTCTACACAAACAAAAATATAAAAAATAACAAAATATAAAAAAAAAAATTAAAAGTTTAAATTTTAAATTTTAATTAAAATTAAAATTAAAAAAAAAAAAAAAAAATCTGTTGTGTAATTGTGTTTATGTTTATTTGTTGTTATTTTTTGGGGGTATTTGTGTGTGCGTGTGTTTGATAAATAGAAAGTAAAGGAAACACCTCAGTAGCACGAAATATTATAATAATACTAATAAAATTTATATTTTATAACACCAAAAAAAGATAATGTGTTTTCATATTATTTAATTTTAAATTTTAATTAATTTATTTGTTATTATTCATAAATTTAATTTGGGTAAGTAAAATACTGCAAATTTAATTAAACCCAGGGGTTCAGAAATAAATGGTAATTACTTCTCAATAAATAAACTTTTTTTTTTTAAATATTTAAAAATACTAAAAAAATAAAACAACTCTTTTAATCAATTTAATTATCAATTCTAAGTTCATTTTTATATTTTATATAGAGCTAATTAAATTCTATATTTATAGTTTTTACAATTAATAATCTATTTATTATCTATAAACAATACATATTTATTTAAATAAAGATTTTAATATATTAAAATAACTTTTATTTGTATTCATTATTGACTTCTTTTCTTTTAATATTTTTTTTATTTTTATTATTTTTTTATTATTTTATTTATTCCCAATTCATAACTTGCTTAATAATTGGAATTGCAATGGATGCCATATGGGCATGTGCGATAACAGTGGGGTGACCATAACAACCAAAATCATCGGAACTATCTTGAATATTTGGCATATCTATATAGGTTCCATTAAAAATATTGGAAACGTTTTCGGTATAGGTACAAGTAACAGGATCACCTATCATTACACCACAAATAAAAAATAGTTTTGGTTGTGATGGTAAGTAACCCAATAAAACTGTTTTTAAAAATGAGATAAATGTGGATTCAAATTCTTGTTGGGTTGGGTATGGTGGGTCTGTATAATCATTTGAACCTAGAGCAATTACTAAAACATCTGGTACAAAATTTTTTGGATTCCATATACTGCTATTATCTGATAATGGTAGAATATATGGATATAAATCTGGTAACGTTTGTGTTGATGTTGGTGTTGAAGATCCATAATTCTTTATAACACCTTTACCCTCCCATGCTGCCATATTCATTTCACCTCCTAATTCATTTGCAATTACTGCAGCAAATGATCTATATAAAAAATCTTTGATTAATAACAATAATTAAATAATAATAAATGTAATTAGCTATAAAATACTAACACATCGACATTTTCGGTTGATTCTGTAAATGGACAAGGTGCTTTACCCATATCACCATAACCTGTAGCAATAGAGTCACCAATAAATTCAAACTTTCGACCAGTAGGTGGGCTATATTGGAAAAGTGTAAAGTTTGGATTATCTACTACAAAACCATAGAATCTGACTTCACCAAATTCGGCCTCGGTTCTTTTTGAAACTATTACTTTATAGATTTCTTTACTATCTAAATTGGTTGCAATTTTAATTTGTTGTTGTAGAGGTGGTGATAATGTTACATTAAAAGGTTGTTGATATAGGTCGCCATTAATATAAATATCGAACCAATTGGTTTGTTGAGAATTTAAAACTGCTGAAATTTCGCTAACACCCGTAATATTCATTATAATTTGGCAACCACTCCAGGCAAATGCGTAATATTCACCATTTGTTGATTGGGTGTTGTCAATTCTTCCTACATAATGTAATAATGGATTGGTTGGTAGAATTACAATTGCTGATGAAATATATAATATATTACAAAATAACAATATAAATATTATTAAAATTTGATTTTTTTTCATTTTAATATTTTAAAATAATTAAAAAAAATAAAAAAAAAAAAAATCTATAAAAACAATTCCACAAAAAAAAATCATTTTTCATAAAATTTTATTTTTTTTTCAATAAAACTAATCTATTCACAAAATATAATCCATTAAAACCTTAATTAAAAAAAATATAATAAATTTTCAAAAAATATACTTAAAAAAAGGTAGATGTAGTAATAAAATAAAATATTAAAAAAAAATTTAAAGAATAATAATAATTTTTTTTGTATTTTTCTTTCCAATATTTAATAAATATAATAATTTAACAAAGTGTCGGTAATAGAAAACAATTTTATTTATACCAACACCCCATATTTTTTTAAATCCTTAAAAATAAAAAAAAAAAATTTTGGGGTAAGATTTCATTATTTATTTTTATAAAAAACTAAATAAATCTTTAAAAATTAAGAATATCAATAAAACAAAAAAAAAAAAAAAAATATAAATTTAATTTCAACTTTATTTTATTATAATCATTTAACCAATAAAAAAAAATGCTTTTTTTTAAAAGTTTTTTAGTTTTCTTTATTATTATAAATATAGGTCTTTTTATATTAGCATCAGAATCAGATGATAGTTCCCTTAGAGGTTTTACCTGTACTAGCCCTGGCTCTGTTTGCTCCTTTATTGATTACTGTCCACCAGGATATAGCTGCATGGATAGAAATTACTTTAATAATACAAATAAATATACTGGTATTTGTAAACCATCAAAACAGAGGGGTGAACTATGCAACGGTGATGAAGAATGTGGATTTGGTTTAAGATGTGACTCATTAAAAAAAGGTGCTCCATTATATTGTTTAGGATTTAAATTTGCTGGTATTGGTGAAATGTGTTCAAGATCAGATGAGTGTATGGGGTATTTAAAATGTATTGAATCAAAATGTACAAATACAAAAACAGATGACTGTGGCGCTATGGACAACTGTCCAAGCCAACACTACTGCTCTGGAGGGGAATGTGATGTAGATTGTACCGATAATGTAGAAAGAATTTGTAAACCCTTTTCTGCCACTGGTGGGTACTGCAATTTTGGATATGAATGCAATATCAATGATACCTGTGTAAATCGTAAATGTATTAAAAAATACTCACTAAAAGAAGGCGAAAGATGCTCAGATTTTATGGATGCTTGCGAATCTGGTGAAGCTCTATTTGAATTAGATGAAAAACTAGATTCTATTTGTAAATGCACCAAACCCGGATCAATTACCAACAGTATTAAAAACTGCGTTACTGAAAATTGCCCTTTGAACTATTTTTGTGAAGGTAAAACAAACAAATGCTTGCCAGATTTTTCACAAACTGATGAATGTAAACGTCTTAGAACAGAAAGAGACCAATGCTATATCAATCACCATTGTGTATATATAAATACTCAACCCTATTTAGGAACATATTTTATGAAAGACTCCTGTCACTTTAAGAACTGTGAAAAAGAATCAATCAGCTATTTAAATCAATGTACAATGCGTTTTAATATCTGCAACAATTAATAAAACACACAAATATAACTTCAAAAATTAAAAAAATAAAATATTTTTTTTTATTTTTAAATATAAAAACAAACTATTATTGTTTTTATTTAACAACTATTTTATTTTATGGAATAAATAAAATATATATATATATTAAACTGGATGGTATAATTATTATTATTATTATTTTTTTTTTTTTTTGATTTATTTTATTTGTTTTTTTTTTTTTCTATATGAAAATATATTATTTATATATTATTAATTATATAATTAAACGTCATTTCCATAGCTATTAATACCGTAGCTTGGTGAAGAACGATATCTTGCTTCAGGAACACTAATACCGAGTCTACTAAAGTATTGATTTTTAAGATGATCTTGGGATTTAGCTTCAATGATTGGTTTTTGATAAGGCATAGCATCCATAGCAGAGGGACCCATATGTAGAATTGCTCTAGTAGATACCTCTACACCAGTTTCTGCTGCAGCTTTCTTTGCCTTTAACATTGAACCCGCACGGTAACCACCCAGACCTAAAAGAATAATAATAAGACCAGCGATTGAAAGACCTGAGAAGGCAGTAGTATTGATACCCATAATGAAATGAAGTGAGAATACAATATTGGTTAATGGAAGTCTGAGAGTATTAGCAATTGAGAAAACAGTTGCACCAGCATGCTTAATTACCAAAAGAATTAAAACGTTATAAATAATATTAATTGACATATATAAAATAATTAAAATATAGGCGTGGTGGCAATCATCGCATGGGGTTAAATCTGGATATTGAAGTGGGTATGGTGTACATGATCCTGGAATGGTTGTATTTGTAAAACCTGATGTGGTATTCCAAATTGGAAGAATACTGTCATGGCCGCCTAAACATAATGTACCATTTTTTAACTATAGCAAAATTAAATAAAAGCATTAAATTAGAATTAAGCAATCGTTTTACAATAAGATATTTTTATACTTACTGATGGAATAATATCTCTAAAGTGAATTGTAGCTGGTGGTGGTAACCAATTGTTAATTGGGAATAAAACTGTACCAATTAAAGATTGATAAAATGCATCCCAAAACTAAAATAAATAAAATTTTAAATTAATATTGTATTATTTAATTGTTATTATTATTATTATTATTATTAATATTATTATTATTATTATTATTATTATTTTTTACTTACTTGTAAATACCAAACATCCATATCTTCTACAGCTTTAAAACCAATATCCTTATAAACATTTGAAAGTGCACCAGGAACTACTGAAATTAAATAGAAAACATTCCAAAATGGTTTATTACCGCTATTACCACCGCCAACTAATGATGGAATTAATGAAACAATAACACCACCTACAATAACAGCTGCACCACCCATTTGAACTAATGAATAACGCTCTTTTAAAATTAAAAATGATGCAAGCATAGTGAATGGAATAATAGCTTGATTTAAAAGTTGTTGAAGTGGACCTGATGTTGAAATACCACCAATGACAACAAAATAACCTATAATAAAATATTAATTGTATCATTAGAATCATGTATGAACTATATATATATATATTGATTGATTGATTGATTGGGTTGATTATCTAATTGATTGTTTGATTTTAATTATTTACCTGAAACTGCATCTAATGCACCCATAATTGCAAATTTATAAGTTGGAAAAGCTCTAGTTTCTTTTGGAATATCATTTGTAAAAATGAATTTAAAAAGTACTACTGAAAAGAAAATTGGAACGTAACCATAATTTGTAAGTTGACTATATTAAAATTAAATATAAAATAATTAATATTGTTGTATTGATTTTTATTATTATTACTATTATTGTTTAAAAAACTACTTTAAAAAGAATGCATAATTTGAAAAAACGTTCATAACCTTTTTTAATAAAATACTGTTTACTACACCAGCACTAATATATAATACTACATATAATAAAATTTGAAGAGTGTCCTTTGTCATTGCCCCTCTAATTTTTTCTTTAATAAGTTCCAACTTTGATTTTTGCATTATTAAAATTGGTTTTGCGTCATCATCTTGAAATTCATCATCACCGTTTATTGATGATGTTAATAACGGTTGTTTCTCATCAGCTTTCCCCATTTTATATTTTATATTTTATTTATTTTGAATTTTTGGTTTTGGATCTATATTTTTTTTTTTTTTCGTTTTGCTGTGTATATTTTTATTATTATTATTTATTTATTTATGTTGCTGTTATTTGCTATTGTTGTTGTTTTTTTTTTTGTTTAGATTTGTTTAGATTTGTTATAACTATTTTACATTAAAAATAATAACAATTTTATTTTGTGTGGTTGTGTGTTTTTTTTTTTTGTTTTTTAAAATATTTAAAAAATAAAAAAAAGTTTTAAACCTACTAACTAAATAAATATTTATTTTTTTATTATGTAGTTATTATAATCCCCACAATAATATATTTTTTTTTACAGTTTGTTCTTTTTTTAAAAAAAAAAAAATTTGGGTTCTATAAAGAAAGAAAGAAAAGTAAAAAAAGAATTATTTATATAAAAAAAAAAAAACAAAAAAAAATAGAAAAAATTAAACGAAAAAGAAAATTGATTTTTTTTAATTTTTTTAAATTAATTTTTTTGTTTTTTTTTTTTTTTTTTTTTATAATTGGATTGGTTTTGAAATTACTGGTCGTAAAATAACCCAAAAAAAATAAAAAAAAAAAATAAAAAAAAAATATTCGAAAAAAACTTATAAAACATGTATATATATGTGTTGGTGGGTGCAAATGGTGAAAAATTGATCTTGATATTAATTTTTTGATTTGTTTAATAAAATTAATAAAATTTCAATTGTAATTGTGATTTAAAAAAAAAAAATAATAATTATGTGACAAAAAAAAAAAAAAAATTTGTGGGAGTATGAATAATTATCTGTTACCAGATAAATTTTATTTATTTTTATTTAAATATTCAATTTTGAAGTAAAAAAAAAAAAAAATTGGAATTTAAAAAATTGTTAATATGGTTAATGACAATATAAATATAAATATTTTTTTGGTGATTAAAGTATAATAAGATTTTATATTTTGGATGGTGTTAAAAAACACCTTTTTTGTAAATTTTTTTAAAAAAAGCAAATCTGCTAAGGTTATACAAATTGGGGGATATAGATAATAAAAAATATTTAAGAGTTGAAACCGTATAAAGTTCTACCTTGTCTCTTGAGGGCATAGACGACGTCCATAGCGGTAACGGTACGACGACCTGCATGTTCAGTGTAGGCAACTGAATCACGAATGACATTGGTTAAGAAAGTACGTAAGACGTTTCTGGTTTCTTCGTAAATTGGGAATGAAATACGTTTGACACCACCTCTACGAGCTAAACGACGAATGGCTGGTTTGGTAATACCGTTAATGTGTTCTTTTTGGGCTTTCTTATGACGTTTGGCACCAACTTTACCACCGACTTTACCACCAGTTTTACCACCTCTTGATTGAGCACTTGACATTTTTGATTATGATTTTGTTTTGAAATTAAATAATATAGAAAGAATAATGTTTAAATATATAATTTAAAAATATTTAAACTGTTTATGATGAAAATATAAATTTTATATGAATAAAAAAAAAGAAATAATTAATATTACTATTTATTAATTGATGTTTAGTTTATAAAAAAAAATAAAATAAAATTTTACCCTTAAGAATGAGTTTTTTTAAAAAAATAGTTATTAATAATAATAAAAATTAATTAGTGGAAATATTTAAATGAGAAAAAAATTAAAAAAAAATAGAAAAAAAATTAAAAAAAATAGAAAAAAATTAAAAAATAATTAAAATTTTTAAATTTAAAAATTGGCGCATCCATTTTTAAAAAAATTACACATAAATCCGTGTTAAAAAAATTATTTTTGAGGGGGCTTCACTTAACGGTAAAATTTTTTTTAAAAAAACTCTTTAAAACAAATATTCATTCCAAAAAAATTTAAAAAAAAATAAGTAAATAAAAAATACAGTTAAATATGAACATATATTTTCAAATCTCGTTTGATTTTTTTTTGATATGAGAAAAAAAAAAAAAAAAAAAAAAAAAAAAAAAAAAAAAAAAAAAAAAATTTTTAATGTTTAAACTATAATTAAATAAATGAGGAAATTATAAAAATAGAAATTTTAAAGTTGGTTATTTGTTTATATATAAATAGATATTTTATTTCTTTTTTTTTTCCTTTTTTTTTTTATAAAAAAAATATTTTTTCAAATAAATTTTTTTTTTTTTTAAATTATTTATATTTATTTTATATATTAAAAAATAATTATGGATATTAACGATATTTTATTTTTTAAAGTATTTAGAAATATTATCATTTTAAAAAATATATACAGATTTATCAGAATTCATAATAAAATTATTCAAATAAATGAAGATGTGTCAACTATTACATTCAATCATTATACTTTAAAGAATTTTAAATTTAGGGATCAATTATATAAATGTAGAGTTGGAGCTGAAGTCAGAATAGAGGACCTCTATCTGGATAATGAAAAAAGAGGTTATTATTTCGACAATTCAGAAGATAAGGATTTTTTTAATATTTTATTGACAAAGGATGAAGAATCGTTACCAGTCGGTTTAATTCCGGAATCAGTTACAGATTTAACTTGGAGACATAGACAGGATCTATTGGATATGGGAGTACTACCAAGAAATATTAAAACTCTCACAATAGCAAATTATTTTGGTAGAAACAAAAATATACCTAGTAACAAAATACCAAACCACGTTCAGAATTTTCGAACTGAAAATACGTCAGTTTTTTACGAATTACCATATGGTTTAAGAGCTTTGTCTTTACTAGGTAGATTTAATCAAGCTTTAGAAGAATTACCAACCAAATTACAATACCTTGAATTGGGTTATAGTTTTTCAAATTCTATTAATCACTTATTACCAAATTTAAAAAATCTAAAGACATTAATTTTAGGTAAAAGTTATAAGCAAATTATAAAAAAGGGTGATTTGGTAGATTCTATTCAAGTTCTTTCTATATGTTGTAGTTTTGAAGAAGGGTCATTACCAAAGTCTCTAAGGGTCTTGGAAATAGATTCAAATGGTTTCTCAGTTGCTTCCTTGTTACCAGATTCAATCAAATGTTTAATTTTCAAAAATGATGTAAATGAAAAATTCAACAATAAAGATTTGCCAGAATCAATCGAATATCTTGGTTTTTATGGCCGAAAAGATTTTTCAGAAGGATTTTCATTCATACCACGAAGTTGCAAAGAGTTGGTTTTTGGTGATTCTTTCAATACAGATTTTAGAGACATGGACCATTACAACTTACCAAAACTTACTCATATAATATTTGGTAAGAATTTTAATCAAGATATACCTATATTTATATTACCTCCAACAATCAAATACATCGAGTTTAGAAACGATTATAAAATGTATAAAATTTCAAATATGCCAGGAGTTCAAATAAAAAAAAATATTATTCAAACCGAACAAAATTTAATACATCATCTAGATTTTTTAAAAAAATTTATAGATAGCCCAACAGTATTTAATAATTATATTTTAAGTTAATATTTAAATAAAATTTTATTAAACAAAAAAGTTTTATGTTTCTTTTTTTTTATTCTTGTTTTTTTTTTATTATTAAAAGAAAATTATAAAAATAATGATAAGGCTTAATAGGTTTGAATATTTGATAGTATTTGAGGCAGATATTATATCAATAGATTCATTTGATGAAAGTGTTGAGGATGAGGAAGATGTTGGGTTTGGGGTTCCACTACCACTATTTCCACCATTATTGCTATTACTGCCACTGTTATTTCCACTACTACTGTTATTACTATTACCACTGCTACTACTGTTATTACTATTGCCACTGCTACTAGTAGTATCACTTGATGTTATACCATTATTATTGCCTGTGGAGCTTGGGTTAGAGGATGCAGAGCAATCAGATTTTAATTGAAAGCCTTTATTACATTTACAAATACCTGTTATAAAATCACATACACCATTATTGGAACATTCAAAAGGTGAACCAGGACAATGGACATAATGATAAAATAATGAATCTGATGTATTTGATATAGAGTTAATTGATACGGTTACAGGGATTCTAGAGGGCCAGATTAATATATCTGATGTAAAGCTACAGGTTATTTGGGTAAAGCTTGATGAATCAACATTACATGGAATATTATTGGAAATAAAAATATTTACCAATGATTTGGTGGGAATAAAGTTTTTCCCAGTAATAGTAATTGAAAAACTGTTTAAAGCTGAAAAGAAACCTTGTGGAGTAATTGATGATATGGTTGGTTGGATATAGCTCATTTTATAATCTGGGCTTTTAACAGAGCTTTCATTGGGATCATTTGGGTTGGTCGATTCGGAGGTTATACTAAAAGTACCAGAGCCACTAGGAATGCCACAAATCACTTTGTTACCACTTTTAAAGTCACATTTGGTTAATTTGGTATTGTCATTTAAATAAAATTTTGAACCTAAATAAAGACCGCTAATTGTAACATCACCTCCGCTTGTTGATGGTAATGGTAAAATTTCATTAATGATTGGTTTTAGATTGATAAACTTGTTTACACTTTTTCCATTAATTGTCAAGGTGATTACTGTGCTAATAAAATCTTGTGGTAATTTTAGCTCGATATATTCAAAGTTTAAAGATACAACACTAGAGGCTAAGGAGTTTGCAGGATTTCCATAAGATATGGATAAAAGGTCAGAGTCCAAAGGGTTTAAAAAGTTTGAGCCCATTAGTCTCAATTGACCATTATTGTCACTTGGTTGTAAGAAGGATGTTATGATTGGATCTTGATAGGTGTAGCTGACCGAGGATGAGATTGAATAGCTTGTTTGAAGGGATAATATTGTTGTTTTTACAATTCTATTTGGTGTGTTATAAATAATTTGAGTGGCTGAGTTGATGGTACCTGTTTGACCACTTGTTAGTTCACCATTGATGATTTTAATTGATGCTAGTTGCTCACAATTGAAAAAGTAGCCATTTATTGTTATTTTAGATTGACTTGTAGGAATTGATGTTGGGTTTATTGATGTGACAATTGGATTTAGTTTTATTGGTACTTTGTTGGAGTTTTGATATAAATCGATGATTGTAAAATCACCATTTACAGCATTTTCTGGGAGCGCACACGTTATATGGCTAATATTACAGGAACAAAAGCTTTTAATATCCATTTCGTTTAATCTAATAGTAGTTTGGTATTCAAATTCCATAATATTATCTCCAGCGATAGTAACGGTGTTATCTTGCTGGATATATTGACCATTTAATGATTGAGCTAAATATTTAAATTTATTTGAAGAGGTGGACAGGGTGCCAACAGAAACAGAGACAGAGTATCCAGATGAAGGTTGTGGATATCCTAAGTTTGGCAAATCATATTTGAAATTACATTTGATGGTTTTTGCATCTATAACGACGACATTTTCGCATGGATGAGCTTCGATAGAAACAGATGTATCGGATTGTCTAAAATGGTCACCAGATATTGTAATAAAGCCCGGTCTTTTATATGGTAAACCTGTAACACTTGTGATTACTGGATAGGCTTGTGAACAATCTGACAAACCATAGCCTTCGTAGCAATTACAAACCATAGATAAACAATCACCATTGCCACTGCAATCATTTTCGCAAACAGACTTGTATGTATAAGCATTTAATGGTAAGCCAGCACTAGATGGGACCAAGAGTTTATTAATTTTTCCAGTTTTTAAAATATTTAAACCATTTACAAATGTTGATGTTGGTAAATTTAAGTTGAAAATCTGTTGATTGTTACCATTTAGGTCCATTGAAAGAATGAATTTGTTTGAAGATGAATCCATTGCAGAAAAAAACAATTGGCCTTGTACTAAATCAATGGCAGAATTATCGCAGCTTGTCAATGTTGTGTCAGTAATTTTAACCGACTTTACTATGTTTACATTGGTTTTTGTATAGCTAATTACTTCAAGTGATAGGCTTTGGGCGCCATTAGGCTTACTGCATAGATAGATTATTTGATTGGTATTATCGAGTGAACCAGTAAATCTACTTGAGCCGTCATTAATCTGACTGATTAGCTTAATAGCTTTTGCATCGAATAAATAAAATGAGCTATCCGTACTAAATAATAATAATAAATTATTGTTATCTGATAATCTTTTTTTTTTTTTTTTTTTTAAATTAATATTAAAGATATAATTTATATTTTAATTGTTATTAATAGGTCTTGAATACTTACAGCATATAAACTGTTTTTGATAAAAGAAGATTTCCAGTTGAATCAGCGAACCCTGAAAGAGGAGCTGGGATATGACCTATTTCTGATTTACCATTTGTGAAGCCTTGGTGGTTATAGAAAAACTTTGTGCCACAAATAACACCAGACGCCTTGGTATCGATATTGATTGGAAAAGTAAATCTAGTATTTTCTTGAAGAGATGGTTTTAGTTGGTATATATAGTAATAGTTATTTATGTAGACAAGACCTCTTTGTGGGCTAATGACAGAAAGAATTGGTTGCACATCATATCGACCATTTTCAAATAGGAACGAAGAGGCTAACACTGGTATTTGGTTATTATCTGCTGGGACAGACAAATTAATATCCCCATAGGTAATATGAGTTCTATTTACAAAATAGATTGATTGATAGTCTGGTGAAAGAACTGTTTTTTCATTTGAATAGATTCCAGATGGTGAAACATCGACTAGACTAAAATTAAATTGTATTCTTTGTGCATTTGGATTTATAATAAAATTTGAAACAATGAAAAATAAAAATAAAAATTTCATTTTTTTTTAAATTTTTTTTGTTGAAAAAAAAAAAAAATATTTTAAAAATGCCATATTTATTTGATCAAAAAATAATAAATTACAAAGTTGGAAAAAATATCTGTATAGATATAAAATTACAAAGTTGGCAAAAAAACATCCTTATGAATATTTTAAAAAACTGGTAATTTTATTTCCCTATCTGATCCGATTTTTTTAAAAAAAAAAAAAATAAAAAAAAAATAAAAAAAAAATAAAAAAAAAATTATTTTTGATTAGTTATAACTTGGTTATATTATTAAAAAAAATAATTTTTATTTTGTTTTTTTTTTTTTTTTTTTTTTTTTTTTAAATTTTTTTTTTTAAAATTTTTTTTTTAATTTTTTTTTTTTAATATTGTATATTCGTATATTATTTTTAAGCACACAATTAATCAAACTATTAATATCTGTTTAAATTTAATTTTGTTTTTTATATTTTTATAAATAATAATAATAATAAAAAATTATAATTTTTAATATTTAAAAACAATAATTTTTTTTTTTTAATTTTTTTTTATTTTTTTATTTTTTATTTTTTTAAAAAAATTATTACCACACAACACATAGAAATATAATAAAATGCCAGAAGAAGAAAGCGAATATCTCTTTAAAAGTAAATATTTAATTGGTTTTCATTTATAATCATTTATAATTTAATAACTTTTTTTTTAAAAAATAAATAATAGTTGTTATTATTGGTGATTCAGCAGTAGGTAAATCCAATTTATTAAATAGATTTACAAGAAATGAGTTTACAGAAAAAACAAAAGCAACTATTGGTGTAGATTTTGGAACCAAAAGTATAGAAATTGATAATAAAATAATTACAGCACAATGTTGGGATACAGCAGGTCAAGAACGTTTTCGTGCAGTAACAAGTGGATATTATCGTGGTGCAGTTGGTGCCATGATTGTTTATGATATCACATCAAAGATTAGTTTTAAGAATGTCACACGTTGGTTAAACGAATTAAGAGAAATGGCTGAATCAGATATTCTTATCATGATGGTTGGTAATAAATCCGATTTAGAAATGTCAAGAGAAGTACCAACTAAAGAGGCTAAAGCTTTTGCTGAATCAAATAAAATATCTTTCTTGGAAACCTCTGCCCTCAACTCTACCAATGTAAATCAAGCCTTTGAAACCCTTTTAACTGATATTTTCAACTTGGTATCTTCAAAGAAACCTGTTGTTGTTGACGATGTTCAAAATTGGTTAGTTCCAAACCAAGGTAAAAAATTAACTCCTCTTTCTGATCCAGCTCCACAATTAACAACTACTACCGCATCAACTCATCAACAAAAGAAAGGTGGTTGTTGTTAAAACCAATAATAATAATAATAATAATACAATATATATATCTATTTATTTTTAACAGTTAAATTATTTAAATAATCATTAGTATCAGATCTACCAATCTTGTTTTTTTTAAATAAAAAGACACTGCAAACAAAAAACATGTTATAATATAATAAAATAATAATAAACAAAAAAAATAAAAAAAAAAAAAATAAAAAAAATAATGATCAAAAAAAATTATATAAATTATATTTTTTTTTTTTTAAATATTAATTTATATAACAATTGAAATATAAAAAAAAAGAGCTATTAATAAAGCTTTATTTATTTATTTATTTATTTATTTAAATTAAAAAAATTTTTTTAATTTTTTTTTTTTTTTAATTAAAAACGAATCTTTTTTTTCGTTTTTTTTTTTTTATAAAAATTAATTATATTTAATTTTTTTTTTGTTTGGTTTAAAATAACTTATATAAATAAAATAAAATAAAATAAAATAAAACACAATGAAATCAAATAAAGATTTATTAGATTTAGAAAAAAATGATATTACAAAGAATGACATTAATTCAAAGTTTTTACTAAACAGTCCAAATAGTTTAGATAACAACAGTACCAGAGCCAAACCTAATTTTACAAGAATAGAAAGTTCAGTTTTAAGTAGAGTTAAAGATTTTCTACCAAAGTTAAAAGAAGCAAATAATGAATTAAAAAAGAAAATGGATAATAATGAAGATGTTAATATAGAGAATATAAAAGAAGGTGATGAATATATCCAAATGGTAATTATAAATTAATATAAAGAGTATTTAAATATCAAGTATCTAATGTTTTTTATTATATACATGTAGAATTTGGCATTGGGCATTTTGGAGCAAAAAGAAGAATTGAACGAAAATAATATAAAAATCAATCCAAATGCAAATAAAAATAAATCAATTGTAGAATTAAATAGTAATAATAATATAAATAAAACTGAGGGTGAAAAAGAAAAAGAAATTTTAAATTGTACAGATAATAATAATAATAATAATAATATTTTAGAAATTTTAAATCAACCAACATCAGTATTGGATAATTTTATTTTAAATAGTGATGAATCAGATGAAGAGAATGGTGAAAATGAAGTTTTAGAGCCAATAGAAGTAAATTATTAAAATTAATAAAATTTTTTTTAAACATAATAAAATAAAATAAAAACAAATAGATAGTTTATTAAATTAATAATCTATTGTTATAGCAAATAAATTATTTTATATTTTATTCTTTTTTATTTTCATTATTATTATTATTATTATTGTTATTATTATTATTATTATTATTTTCTACATTTGTGGTTGATTCTGTATTATTATTATTTTCTATCTCTGTTTCTTGTTTATCTAAAACTTCTAACATTTCTTTAAAATCTTTTTCAGTTAAATAAAGGAATTTGTTACAATAGATACATTTTAATTCATTGTGGTTGTGTTTTTCTAAATGTTTAATTTCATCTTTTCCAAGTGATAATAATCTGTCTTTGAAGGATTTTAAGGTACAACGGCAATAAAAGTCTATAAATGTAGTTCCAATAACTTCGAATGGTTCATTATTGGTTATGGTTGAAAGAATTTCTTTTAATGATTTCTTTTCACTTAAAAATAAATCAGCAATGGAACGATTACTTTCAATAGCTTCTTTTAAACGCTCTAATTCACTGTTTGGTGTTGATGGTAATGTTTGAATTATTAAACCGCCATTAAACTCGATACTATTAGTATCACTTGGTGTTTCGGTTGCCATGGTTGATCCTTGGTCTAATTCTAATTGTTGGGATTTTTGAGTCTCTTTATTTGGGTATGCAAAACTTTCTAATTTAATATAAGTTGGAATTTGTTCAGATTGATCGAAATAATGCTGAAACTCTTTGGTAATAGTTAAATCCTTATCTTTAATTTCTACATAACTTTGAATTGGTTTTAAATGACCATATAATACTTTAGAAAATTGAAATACACCATTTCTTTTAATTTCTTCATTTGGCATTTCCAATCTTGGTGTATCACCATTAATTAAAAATCCTCTAACTTCACCAACTTGAATGGCTTGTGCATAAATATGCTAAATAAATAAATAAATAAATTAATAAATAAATATTGTTTTTAATCATTTTTATTGTTTTTTATATTTACAGTTGGATTAATATCGGAGATTAATTGTGCTGAAATTCTTTCTTCATCAGATAAAAATGATGCGCACATTGAAACACCTGACATAACCTTTCCTAATAATTGAGTATCTGATGTTGTAAGTTTATGTTTGGTTTGTGCTGTATTTGCTGTTTTTGTTAAATTAATAATTGAAAATCTAAATTTTTCGTTGTGTGCTGTTAAAACTTGATCTCTAGTTCTCTAAATAACAATTTATATAATATTAATATATATAATATACTTTAAATGAGTTTTGTTTTGATCTGTTCTATATGTACCTTATATTCTTCAACTTTTGCTGATTTTTCATTAGAGCTATTTTGGGTATAGTTTCTTGTTCTAATATTTAAAGAAACAGTTTGTTTTAAAGTATTGTTTAAAATTAAAATACTTTGATTATTTGAAATAAATGCATTTTTTAAATAATTCATCTTTATTCAAATATATATTTAATTTGTAAAATTTAAATTTAAAAAAAAATAAAACAAATAAAAAAAAAAAAAAAAAAATGAAAAATGAAAATTTTAAAAAAAAAAAAAAAAAAAAAAAAAAAAAAAATTTAAGGGTGGATTTTTTTTTTTTGGGAAAAACAAATTCAAAAAAAAAACAATTTCTTTTAAAAGTTTTAAAAAAAAGGTTTACCTTTTTTTTTTTTTTTGGTTTTATTTTTAAATTTTAAATTTTTTTTATAATAAAAATTAAAAAAAAATTCCCAAAAAAAAAAACAAAA